GTCGCACGGAACACGGTGTGTCCTTTTAAATATGTGTATTAGTGTGTTTATACGTGTGCACGTGCATGCGTCGATGTAGAAACGCGCGTGTGTCCGTGTATGAGCGTCGTGTCCGTTTGTACGCGCGCGTGTATCTCTATAATATATACATGGATACAGTACTTTTTTTTTTTTCTTTCCCTTAAATTTACACCAGAATTGCACGATAAACGATCGACACGAAATCGAGTGACGGAGGGAAATAATGAATTTTGAATATCCTTCGTTTTCTTTAATCACTTTTTTTTTTTTGTTTATCTATTATATCTCCCTTCTCAGAGTAACGAATTTTAATGCATCGCCAGAGGAAGGTCTAATCTCCGCTCGACTTCGAGTCGATACGCTCGTTGGTTCACAGAAATTTTGCACTTCCGAAGAAGAAATACGTCTGTCACGAACGCCAAACAGAAAACTATATCTACGTGTATTAATTTCTCTCCCTTTTATACTCGTGACAAAACCTACCCGTCGAAACGGAGAAAACAATGGCCGACGCGGGAAATTTAAAAAAAAAAAAAAAAAGAAAAGAAAAAAAGAAGAGAAAAGAAAAAAAAACTTGACGATCGAATAAACTCTCGGGACACGGAACTCAAACTCATTGAAAATCTATATCTAAGGAAAAGAGAAAACGAAAGGAGTTTGTTAGAACGAAAAAAAAAAAAAACAAAAAAAAATAAATAAATCAAATGTCGACCGAAGCGCGAGGTCGAAAGGTCGAAGCGTGAGAGAAATAAAAAAGAAAAGAAAGTAGAAAAAGAAAACCGTGTCCACCTTCGATGTCCCGTATTCTTCCTAGGTATATTTTAACATTTTTTTTTTCCTCATGAGATTATACGCATTTATAATTTCCTTAATCTTCATCAAAATACCGACTAATTCTAAATCCATAATAATTCTACGTTGATTATCTAGGTACATGTGCGCCGATTGTTCGGAATATTCTCGCGATCGACGTTCCGTCTGTCTACGCATGTATGTATATATGTATGTATGTGCGCATGCGTGTGTGTGTGTGTGTGTTCCGGTGTATCGTTCCATTTCCGTATTTCATTCTGTGTATTCGTATTTGTATATATATGTGTGTGTGTGTGTGTGTGTATGCGTAATCGTACATATAATACCATTACGTATGCGATATAATGTCCTCATTTATTTTTCTTGTACGTATGACGAAACAGATAAACCGTGAAGCTTAAGTCGATTCGTCATTACAACCCCTCGAACCCTCCTATCCCTCTGACGTTCTATCACTTTTATGACGCTCTCGATCTTATCGTCCTTTAATGCGACCGAATCGATTCCTAATAAACTTAACGCTAAATTCATTACGTACCATTTAAAGGTACACTTGCATCTGCTTAGCAGGTAGCCAAAAACAATATATATTTATATACATATACATATACATATACATATATATATATATATATATATATATATATATAATATTTATATTAAGTAAATATTTGTTTAACATGCCAAAATGTGACCGTAACTATTTACACGTGCGCGGTATGTGTGTCGTGTGTACGTGCGTATTCACCATCAATTTTATTTTTTTGTCTTCTTTCAATATTCCATTAATAATTAAATATGTAGGTATCTCTTTCTCTCTCTCTCTCTCTCTCTCTCTGTCTCTTTCTGTTTGAATTTTCTTTTAATCCTGTATCATCGCGTGTGTATGCGCATATGGAACGACACGTAACACAATTTTTACTCCATTTTCTCTCCCACCATACGGATCTATTCCCGATCCCTCCCTCTTTTTCCCTCTATCGCCTAAAATCTAAGTCGTCTAATTTCGGAGACCATCATAATCATCACCCCATCATCCTTTTTCCCTCGGTCGAAATAATCAGTACCACCCTTCAAACAAATATTTCGACGACTCGCGCCCTGATTTTTGCATCTTTTTTTTTTTTTCTTGGCTTCTTTATTCTTTTTCTTTTTGTCTCCTTTTCAGTTCTTTCCTTTTCCGTTTCCACAGCTAAGATTGGAAATTTATGCGCCCGAACACGCTTGCTTGCCGTAAGTTTTTCTTTCTTCATTTTCTTTTCTTATTTCTTTCTTTCTAACTGCACGAAAAAAGAGAAGATTAATCCTTCCCTTTCTTCTACTCTTTTTTTTTTTGGGTTTTCAATTTATTTTCGGTTTCGCGTAACATCGCATAAAAAAGATGACCAATTTTCAGACGTTCTTAATATATGATTACGCGGATAATATAGTGTGTCGTATTTCTATGATCCATTCTTTTTTTTTATTTTTTATTTTTTTCTCGTTTTTATATACGGCGAATCATTCGATCGCGTGTCTATGGTTTTTTTCTCTCTCGTTTCTAACGTCGCTAAATCACGTGCATTTACTATACTTTCTCTCTCTCTCTCTCTCTCTCTTTCCCTCTCTCTCCCTCTCTTTCTCTCTCTCTCTCTCTCTCTGGTCCATTCACAAATTTACACACTCTTGCTCTCTCACGCTTACCCATGTGCACACTCATAAAAACACACGCATACACGCACACGCACACACACACTCACTCACACGCGCACTAGCCATAAGCGTAGACGCATGTATGGTCGCTCTCATTTTTTTCTTTCTTTCTTTCTTTCTTTCTTTCTTCCTTACTATTGTTACATAGTGGTATTATACGCTTGGTAAAAAACGGGTCTATTATACGTAGAGATATATTATATATATATATGTATCACGTGCGCAATGGATCTCGAAACCCTTCCGGCAATCTCGAATTTCGTTAATCGAAAAATATATATGTATATTTATATATATATATATATATGTATCTATGTATGTGTATGTATATATTTAATTATGTACTCTCTCGCTCTCTTTCTCTCTCCTTGTCCTATCGATAGAAACTTTAGTAGGATAAAAAAATACTCGTAAAAATCGGTCTGTTTGTACGCTTGACTAGTATTGTTTACCCGTAAAAAGAAATCAATGCTTTGTAATATCGTAGATTGATTAAAAAGGACTTGAGCTTGCGTTTGGGGGCGGGGGGAAGGGGTAGGTGGAGAAAGTGCTGTACAAAAAACCGTAATATCACCATTACTATTATCGTTATTATCGGCGACAAGTCGCGAGAACGATTCGAAATTCGAGCCTAAGGAGCTTCGAGATCCGTGCTTTTGTATCACCCAGTATACAGGGCCCGCTGATTATAATATAGTAATATTTGTAATAGTAGTAGTAGTAATAATAGTAGTAATAGTAGTAATAATAGTAGTAGTAGCAATAGTAGGTAACTGTACGGAATGTACAGAATTCTTCCTTTTTTGTTTTGTTAATTATTGTAAGTTGTGTTCCCTGTTATGTTTACGCGTAAAAATGTGCACACATTATAAAAACGATGAGGTAGTACTTTCATACTTTTGGCAAAAATTGCGAGCGACGACGTATCTCGCGCTCACTTTTACGGACGATTGAAAACAATAATAAGAAAAATAATTAATATTATATTAAATATTATCAGTAGTAATAGTAGAAAAAAGAAGAAAAAAAAACGAAGTGTCAGCATATATATATGTATATATATGTATATATATATATATATATATATATATATATATATATATCATGTATGCATGTATATAATATGCTTTTTCGTATATCCTATTTCATGTATCTTCTTTGCTATGTTTCTCATTTTCTTTGTTCTGCTGTTTTAACGCTAAACAATTCTATATCGTCTATTGTCTCTCTGATAAACTTATGGTAGGCATATCGTTGTGAATATAAATCTTTATAATGCTCTTTCTCACTGTAACAAAAATAAGAAAGAATAAACGACATTTTCATCGAGTAAAAAAGAGAAAAATCTGTGTATAAAGTTTGTAAAATACTGCAACAAGTAATATCGCGATGCCATCCTGACTAGGAGTATCTAAATATTAATAGATAATATACAGCTATTGCATTGATCACAATCTATAAAACCGGGCTAAAGTGCAGTTTTTGTTTCTTTTTTTTCTTTTTTTTTTTTTTTTTTTTTCTTTTCTTCACGAGACCTTATCATTAATCTAAGAGTATAAACGCGATCCAGTTTGGCTCAATTACTATTTCCCGTATCTATTTCTCTCTATTATTCTCTAATATTCCCGATTAGCGATTCTATTGCTTCGGACAAAAGTCCATTATTTAAACATTGTAAATAAATAACAAAGTGGTAGTGATTGTTTCGCACGAACGTGATCGGTCTTTCTAAGGGAGGAGGAAAAGAAATCGGAATAAAGAAGCAACAAATGTTTAACTATTTCTATGAGAACAATGACGGTTTTCTTATCGGCAATATTCTTATTAGAAAAAATGATGAATAAATTTTTTTTTCCCCCCGAATAAAGACATGACTTTGGACTCTTTATGACAATTATTGTACAAGAAAATTGCTTTATTTTCTTTACTCCGATCGAACCATTCCATAGAAAGAGCGAAACTATGTTCTAGTGCTTTCCGGTTTATATCATATGACGGTTCGTCCTAGAATCGTAATAATCTCATAAACTTTTCGTATAAAACTGTCAGCTGTACAAAAATCGTGTTTTCAGTATTATTTCGTTATCCTGTTATATGCGACTCGCCACCACCTCTCCTTGCGATATATAATATATCATAATCTCCACAGATAGTCGGGTGTTTTAATAATGATAAAATGGTGATATAGTCACGGTGGTGGTCGATCGACAATGATGATGATCATAATAATAATAATAATAATAATAATAATAATAATAATAATAATAATAATAATAATAGCAATAATAATAATAATAATAATAATAATAATAATAATAATAATAATAATAATAATAATAGCAATAATAATAATAATAATAATAATAATAATAATAATAATAATAATAGATAATAATATTAATAATAATAATAATAACCATACTCTATAATAATTAATAATGATAATAATAATAATAATAGATAATAAAGTCTCGTATCTTGCAGCAAATAAAAAAAAAAAAAAACCCCAAAAACAAAAAAAGAAGAAGTAAAAGAGGGAAACGCGTGAAAACGAAATGCATCTCGTTCGAGTTGGATATTTTAGTATTGTTTTGGCACTGCGCGTGTGAACGACTGAACGTAACTAAGGTATGACGTATGTATATTATTCATTATATCACCCGTTTCTGTAAATATGCGTATGTGTGTACGGTTATCTCTGTAAATATCGATCCTAGGCTCGACTTTCTTCAACAGTAATATAGTTCCAGAGATCTGCATTGAAAAAGTTAACATTTTTATGGTAGTAGTGATAATAATTAATAAAAATTGGTGATGAAGAGACTATCTCATCTTTCTCTTTGTAACACGTTTGAACTATCAAAAAAGTAGTAGCAACCGATAATTGTTTTTACTTCTTCTCGATCATCCTTTCATACGGTATATGTATATACTTTTCGTTATTCTTCAATTTCGCGAATGATCGAAAAAAGGGACAACCATGGTAGCTTCGTTCTACTATCTTTTTCTCTTTGTTTCTCTATTATCGGTACTCGGCAGCTTCAACTATGAAAAACGTTTCGTCTAGTTCAACATATACCTATTTATATTAATAAATGTATGTATGTATTATTTACCTGAGTTTGTGTTTTCAATCCTATGACTATTTCCGTTTTGCATTATCTTCGATATATTATTATACTATTAATTCGCGCGTTTATTCACTATTTTTATTCTTGTATTAACCACATGTGTTGTTATCATTCGTTTAACTATTTTTGCTCTTTACTTACATCGTCTATTTCCATTTATCGCTTAACTTTCTCATTTAATAGTTATAGTTAATTAGTCCCTAGACGACCGTTGCACTTTCATTGACTAGTTTTGTGATTCGCTGGCGTTCCCTTTTCTAACTTTCCTCCTTGCTTGCTCATACATACAATCCTCCTTTCGTTCTACCTTACTCACATTTTCTCATTCATACAGATACACGCATCCTCTCACACGCGCATTCTCTCTCTCTCTCTCTCTCTCTCTCTCTCTCTTTTTCTAATAATCGTATTCTTATACGACGGCAGCTTTTCTCACTTCGAGTTCGCGACGTATATTTTTTCAGAAAGATCCGCCAAGAGGCACGGAAACGAAAAATGCTCATGGTTTCTCAATAAATCTCTTTTTTTTCATTTGCAAAACGAAAGAACTCGCTTTCGCGACATTTAACGTAACGATTTAAAGAGAAACAAAACTAGAAAAAACTTTCCTTCAAAAAGAAAGAACTCACCGTGCGTCTTAGAAATCTTTCAAAAAACTGCGAGTCCTAAACCTGACCTTAAAGTTCCTTTGCTTCGGTCTACGATGCTGTGGTAGTAGGACGATGATCCCAGGTAGATAACAACAACGACGACAACGAAGACGATGATGATGACGTAATGGCCTTCGAACGATGTTTGCTCTCGTAAAATGCAGCCGTTGAGTTTTCTTGTAATCGTTATTAAATGGAAAAAAGTGAAAACAAAAGAAAAGAAAAATAAAAAGTAACCAAAGAGACGAAGCAAAAGAAAATTATCGTAGATGTTGAAGATGTCCTTTTGCTTCTTCGAAAATTGCCAACGTTTTTGAAGGATTGCCAGTTCGTTGAAAAAAAAAAAAAATGGATCCAACATATTAATCCATGAGATTGATTGATCGAAGCCAAAGATCCTTGGATATTTGTTCCTCCTCGTTTAATTTGGAAGGACTTTTCTCTCGGAAGCTGGCAGGATTTTGAATAAACATCGTGGAACATCGTCTTACTGCGTTTACCGATCGAGGAATAGGGACGGTGTGTTCGAGTCGAACGTCGAAAGGTAAATGGAGAACTAAACGGTTCCCCAATTGTCCTTAGATTCTTCGTGTAGCGTGTAGCCGAAAAAAAAGTTTCGGTGGTTTCGATATTTCTTCATTTTCATTTCTTCTTCTTCGGCATACTGGATCACGGAATCACGAAGAAAAGAATGACTACGACGACGACGACGACAACGACGTTGACGACGACGACGACGACGACGACGACGGCGACGGCGGCGGCGACGACGACGACGACGACGACGATGACAACAACAATGATGACGGCGACGATGATAAGAAGGTCTAGGAGAATGTTGTTACTGCGGCACCAAATCGGAGGCCGAGTGATTCGTCTCTTGGAAAGCTTTTAGACTCAACTCGCCTTTATGCTCTCGTGCTATGTGCCGTCGTACGGTGTTGTTCCTCGTGAATGTTCGCGAACAGTATGGGCAATGTACCCTGATGCCCTGATGACGCTGTCGTACATGGGCACGCAGATTCGTCTCATACCCGTACAGTCTCTCGCAAAAGGGACACTTTAGTTTTTTACCTGTAAAAAAGAAAACAAAAAGAAGAAAGAAATATTTGATAAGTCACAAGCGCTGCGTAATATAATAATAATAATAATAGTAATAATACATATATATATATACGTGTATATATATATATATATATATATATATATATATATATAAATAGAAGAAACCCAGCGATACTCGATTTTGAATTTAACTCTTTGTACAATAAGAGTTTAAATTAGATACAATCCGTTTGAGAATTAATTGGATTGTGATTACTGTGATTCTCTGAAAGAAATTTGTAGGATTGAACTTAATTAAAAAGATCATGCTCCACGTGTTACGAGGATCGAGGCAAATCTTGGCGTAGAAAATGCAAGTTACGTAATCTTCCATCCTTTTACTTCGCGCCGGCTATATTTTAGCCTGATGGTCGCGCGCGCACGCTTTGCCATTAGTCCCTTCAATAAGAAGAAAACAAAGTCAACGGCGACGAAGGAACGGTTTACGGTAGAGCATCAGGCCAATGCCTTCTAGAGATCGTCGGCGCGTGCAAGGCCATCCAATGAGCAACTAGCTTCCCCATATCGAGGACGATTAACTCGCATTCTATTCGAACCTCACCATTCACGAGAAAGAGATCACTGATCATCCTCCGTTCTTTTATTCTTTCTTTTGTCGGACGGAACCGATCGTTAGAAATTAACGTTCTGCAAACTGACCGTGACTGTTTCTAACTCTTCCTGCTTCGTTTGAAATTCTTGGACCACGAAAAGAGAGAAAAAAAAAAAGAAAAAAAGAAAAGAAAAGAGAGAGAAAACGACAAAGAAGAAGAAATCAAATAGAAGTAAGAAAACGAGAAACTGAACCGATCAAGCGCGATTTTAATTTCTTCTTTTTATATAAGAATAAAAAAAAAAAAAAACAAAAGAAGATTAATTTACTTGAATCGATTGAAGAAAATTGTCGTTCGAGAGAAAATAAATGAATAGAAGATATCAGATCGATGGTGGATTATCTACTGTTTCGAAAGTAGTAACATTACGTTATCGTCGGAAGAAAGAGCTGAAACGTAGAAAACAGAAGTAGGTATAGGGTTGGCTCGCACGCTAGAACGCTGTAAAACGTGGGCCCTCGAAAGTCGTTACGACCACCACATGCAACGCATAAATAATCGTGGGCGTGAAAGGCGTGTGCGTGTACGCGTTTATTATACGTCGTGCGAACACGGCAGGTTGCGCTCAAGACTATTATAGTACAACTTCGATAAGAAATAGTACGTCACGCTTTCTATCTTTCTCTCTTAAAAGAGAGAAAGAAAGGGAAATATTCCTTCGAAATTTCAATCCTGTCGGCTATCTCAATATTATCAAACACGTAATGCAAACGAAGAATGGCAGCCCCAAAAATAGTTAAGAACGAATAGAATCGTAGATGTTATGGAACGGTAACACGTTCTCTAAACTTTTTCTTTTTTTTTTTTTTTTTATAAATAATAAACTGATATCAAATAATTAAGTCGAATTCTTTTTCTTGATTAACAAATTTGCCCTATCGCTGAAAAATCATAGATCACACTGGTATTAATGGTAAAATATTAAAATCGTTTGCGTGTAGATCGATTGTCGCTCGATAAGAAACTGGATCAAAAGAAGAAAAATCAGCGTGTACGTGATAGTTGGTGAGATGCGAGCGCGTGTACTTACACGCGGAACCGCGCGTTCTCTGGCTTTTCGGCGGATAGCACCTAAAAATAGAAGCCGGGCATCCTAGAAAAAGTAAACGGGGCCGCGGTGGCGGGCCTCGGTTTCGTGCAGCTGACTATGAAATTCACAAAGGATCCAACCGGGGGAACAAAGAGCGGGATCCGTGAAGACGAGCGCGTGAAACAGAGAGAGAGAGAGAGAGAGAGAGAGAGAGAGAGGGAGAGAGCGGGAGAGAGAGAGAGAGAGTGCCTGAGACAAAGGCACAAGAAAGAAAGAGACAGAGAACGTGTGCGTTTGTATGTGTTCGTATGTACGTTTTCACGGGATGAGAAAAAGAAAGGACAGATATAGCGCTGCGGGGTAGATACGCCCCTGAGAAACATGCAGAAACGCAAAACGGGCCGAAAGGCTCAGGAAACAAAAATGATCGCTTCCGAGAAAGGCTCCGCCATCTGCTCTGCCTAGAAATCGCTCGATTTCGAGACATTTGCCCATCGATCATTATCGTGATATCATCATAGATTTATTTAGCTTTTCCAGATATAGAAAAACTTTGATCGGGGAATAATTTGTAATTTCGAATCGAATGATCTTGCTCGAATTTCATTGTTTTTCATTCTTTCAAATTATTCGAATGATATTATAAATTATACGAGAACAAACTATAGATCGGCGATGCGAGATACGGTAAAAGAAAAAAAAAAAAAAAAAAGAAAAAGAGGAAAAAAAGCATTCGCAATTCTTACTTTTCGATTCTCTCTCAGCGGAATCGTGCGTGTTTGACCGAAGGGATCGAAGGAAAGCCCGAGAGTCTGGATACGATGAAGTAGTCGAGAGGGGAGAAAATGGAAAGGTTAAGTTACGAAACGCAGCAACTTCCAAGGTCTCTCCCACTCCAATTGGATTATAACTACGACGACGATCTGACCCTTTTTCCCTTTTCAAACTGAATAGATAGAATAACGTAAAGACGAAGCACCGACGTATAGAAGAGAAATTCCACTACATTTTCACATTTTTACAAAGAAATTCTCGTATACAAGGGTATCTTAATTAACTCGTACAATTATCGTAGAAATTTAACGATACTGTATTCGAACGTCTTACAATGGGGCTCTTCAATTCTTATCTGAGTATCTTGATAATACGAAGAGTAAAAGAGCTATGTTGTTATCAGTGACATTGGATTTATTGTCCAACAGTCAATCTGAAATAACCATTCAAAGGAAATAAGTTTCCGACCTATTTTCTGAAAATGATAGAAGTTAGTAGAGTAGCCTTGATCAAACGCAACGGACGTGTTTTTCCCGTGGAAACGAAATGTATAAAAGAAGTAGAAGCAGAAGAAGAAAAAGAAGGAGATAAAGACGAAGATGAAGACGAAGACGAAAAGAAGAAAGAGGGGAAGAGAAATAGAGGACTCGCGAGTGGCTGATCGTGGATCGAGAGACCTTGACACATTTTGTTCGGTGGCGCCAAATTGGTCGTCGAGCAGGCGGCCTATCATAAGAAATAAGAAAGAGTCGAAAGGGAAGAGATGCGAGAGGTAGTTACTCGAAAGAAAAGTTAGCTGCGTTACTATGGATACCGTGGTAAATCTGTTCGATTTAAGAAACAGCCTCCCGTTATCCCGTGATGCTCTTTTGATACGTCTACAAATTCAACACGATGTTTTGCACGTTATTTTTGGCTCTAACAATTTTCTACGAAAATTCCTCTTACTCGTTTTGTACGAAGGATATACGAAATTACTTAGCGATACTTAGAGTTCCACTAATTCTTCGGACGGCCTATACACGCTTGAAAACAATATTAATTAAAATTCACGAAATATTTTCTCGGCAGGACGTCAGGTACATGGAAAACAACGTAGTTATGGGAGGACGAGAAGGAAAGAGAGGGAGGGAGGGAGGGAGGGAGAGAGAGAGAGAGAGAGGAAAAAGAGGCAAAGGACGAGAGAGAGGAAAATCAATGTCAGGCAGCGTGTGCGTTGCAGCCCAAAATCAAGGGAGAGCCCTAGGCCCTCTCCCTCTTATTCGAAGTGTACTACGGAGTGAGAGGAGAAGAGCCCTGGTCGATTCGCGGCTGCAAGGGATGCCAACCCTCTTTCACCGAGCAAAGGAGGAGAGACCATCAGGGGAAACCATAACCTGCACAACGGTCCACTTTCGAAACTTCTCCACGATTCAAGATGTCCGTTGAGAATCCTTTCTGGAGCCGATGTGATATATACGTGAGATTATAACAATTCTTAAAATGATAAATCTAATTGTCAATGTTTTATAATAATAACGAAACAAATAGATTTAACGAATGCCTCGTACAATAGTTTTGTCCGACCGCAACATTCCATTTCCACTTTCAAAGAGAAATTCTCAGGCGGACGAAAATTTCGAACTTTCCGTCAAACGTTCTAAACTATAGTTTTTCTTTTTTGTAATATCTAGTTCTCATAAAGTCCTAAAAAAAGAAAAAAAAAAAAAAAAAAAAAAAAAAAAAGAGGAAGAAGAGAAAGAAAAAATAATCAACTGATTCTTTCGTTGATTATCGACGAGAAGGAGAAACGATTGGGATGTCTTTCTTATTTAAAATAATGCGAAAAGTCTCATTATTAAGAAAGCAATTTTTCGTAAGGTCATTTTTTTTGGACATTTAGGAGGAGCTCTTCTCTCTTTTCCAAGGATGGACCACCCCACGAGATGGTTCTCCGGCAGGCTCTCGAAAAAATTTCAAGCACGAGAGGAGCCACGAGAGATAGCCGAACGGTCTCGTCGACGTATATTCGACTCTCAACATAGTGTCACGCACACGAGCGCGCATCTACGTAAGTAAGTACGTCTCCACGTACAATCACGCGATGTAGCAAGCGCGTACGCACAAGCAGCCACACGGGGGACGAGCATAAGCGCGCACACGCACACGCATACACACTTACGTAAGCAAACGCGACGGTCGAAGCACGCAAACCTTGCGCGTCGTCGTCCACGAAGAACTTTTGGCGGCACGTGCACCTACACCAATGCGTCGGCCGTTGCACGAACACAGTCGCACACGCATCCGTGCACGCACGCATTCGTTTATTGATTGGTGCGTGCTCTACCAACAGGAGCGTTTAAGCATTTTCGGGTACCCCGTGCCATCGACCAATCAACGAGTAATTTTTGTCCTTTGCGAACGACTACAACGAATTTAATATATTAATGGCAATTTATCATACGCTCTTTTTTTTCGCGTTTTTTCTAACGAAAAACAAAATTGCTCTTTTCCCACCAAAAATACGTGTCTCTTAAATTCGATATATAAGTTTTATGATCCGAATCGATTTTGCCTACGTCCAATGTCCAATGATTCCCACTGTATTAATAGAACCTGTTCGATAGCAATAAATTGAAAAACACAAGAGAGAGAGAGAGAGAGAGAGAGAGAGAGAGATGGAAAGACAGACAGAGACAGAGAAAGAGGGAGAGAGAGAAAGAGAGAGAGAGAGAGAGAGAGAGAGAGAGAAGAAGATAAAAAGAGAGATTGAATTATCTATACTCTTGCAGTAAATTAGAAGAGCTTTTTCATCCCCACCACTTTCTAAAAACGTATCTTTATGCAGGTGGCGCTACCGTTCGAGAGCGTCCAGAAACTTCCGCAATGAACAAGAGAGAAAGAGAAAGATAAAGAGAGATATAGCGGGAGAGAGAAAAAAGAGGAACACTTAGGTATAAATGTGTGAGAGTACGCCCACGATGCAGCATTTCGATAAGGGAAGAGACATACTCCCGTGGTGGTTGCCGCGTTTCTCCTTTGTGCAGGAAAATACGAAAGTAGAAAGAGAAAGAGAGGAATGAGGGCCAGAGATGGGTAGGACGATGGAAGCTCCGAAAGGGGTGGAAAGAGCAGGATGAGAGGTATAGGAGGGATTCCTGGATTTCCAGGGAAGATAGCGTTACGCATTGTGCGTGGGAGGGTAGCGCCGAGCTAACGCGCCTCTCCGTTGTTTTATTCCGACTTGTCGAGCCGAGGAGTATGGTAATAAAGCTCGGAGGGACCGACCATGTCCCTCTTCTCTGTCCCTCTTTCCCACCGAAGCGTTTCCTTTCGTAAGATAAAAAAGAAAAAGAAAAAAAAAGAAAAAAAAAGAAGAAAAGACCAAAAGAAAAAAACCGTTCAAACGCTCGTGTCTCTATTTTTTCGGTCTGCCTGAATATTTTTGGCTTACTACGTGACTTACACTACTCCTTTAATCATGAATAGATCATAGATTTTCATAAAATAATCATCGCGCGCGTGAGCACTTTGATATTTTAATGTTAATAAATTATTATTCGGGGCAAGTACGCCGGAACATGGTACACAACGCATAGATTGGGATATCCGGCCGGCGTAAAGCGCAATTACTCGTGCGTAAGGTATGCTGCATTTTGTAGCGTTGAAAACATAGGGAACATGCTCGCTCGCATCAACGGATACGATACGATATAGTGACCATGACATAGAACGCAATAGACGTGCCTGGTGCTTTTTAGTAGTACCATTTTAAAATTGCAGAACGTGCATCCCGATTACATACGATTACCAAATTGCTAGTCTCTAGTGTTGTGTTTCGTATTACCTTAAATGTACATACACAAGTAGAATATATTCATTCATACAGATAGAAATAGGAAATTTACGATTCTTACGACAAAAGATATACGAGTAGGCGGTTCAACAATTTGATCGTTGCATAAAATAAAAGCTGTTAGGAAATGATCACGTGCACGTGTATCTATGTACACGTATACGTATATACGTATTTATAAATATAAAAGAACAGGACGGAAAAGAGCTCTAGCGAAAAATGAACGTCGGACCGTGCTAATACGTATGCTTCATTTATCAGTCGCATGAGTTGGCCCTCTGACGGTGTTATCATAAATTATTTCGTGACCCGAATTCGGTATTGCATGAGCAGCCTAGACTCTATCGTATCCGGCCACCATCACTGTCACAAACTCCACCTCCTCTTCTAACGGTTAACGACAACGACACGACGTCGTCGTCGTCGTCGACCGCTTCGAACGTGCATGTGTGTGTGTGTGTGTGTGTGTGTGTACGCGCGCGCAACCGTGTCTTCGAACGCAAACGCGCAGCCACGCACGCAACGAGCGGCGCCGTTTGTGCTCGCGAACAAAAACGTAAAGCGTGAGTATTGCGTTTGGAATAGATTTCTATAGGCTGATTCAAAAATAAATATTTATACTACCTTTGTAAGATTAGAATAAACGATTTATCTCCAACAAGACTTATCGATCTTATCATTCGATATTACTTCTGATAAAAAGAGAAAAAAGAGACGAGAAATTTCTCGAGAAATTTTAAGATCGACTAAAGCTTTTATTTTCACTGAAAGAAATCGTGACATCTCTAATATGAATCAGTCTGTATGAACGAGCCGAGGGATTATTTTCTATTACGAACAGACCAGATGATTGTCACCTATCATTCTTTCTTTCTCTCTCTTTCTCTCACACATACATCATTCGCGCTTTCAATTTGTTCCTCCTCCTCCTCCTCCTCCTGCTCCTCCTCCTCTCTTCCCTCTTTGATATTCATGTATTACCGCTTTCAATGTTACACGCATGCAACCGTAACAAACCTCTGTGCTTCGCGTAATATCGCAAGAGTTCTCTTTTAGAAACTATCGTACTATTTCTTCTTACTTTCTTTTTTCTTTTCACTTTTTTATTTGGACCATTTTATACAAAATTTCGTGTCCCTTTTTTATGATGTCAATATTTTCAGACACCAAAATTTATTGTAATTTCTTCAAATTATCAAGTATCACGGTTGGTCGAGTTTAATGCGTAGGCGCGTGCAAAGAGAGAGGGACAGAGAGAGAGAGAGAGAGAGAGAGAGAGAGAGAGAGAGAGAGAGAAAGAGAGAGAGAGAGAGAAAGAGAGAAAGCACTGACAAGGAGAGAAAACGACACGATAGGCATCCCCGGGGTTCGTATTGATCGGTCAGAGGGTAGCAGTATGCGGTAGGATCGCAGTAACCCGAATTAGAGACTCTCCTCTCTCCAGTAGTCGCCCACGGAATCGTTTGGTTTTCCTCCGGAATTTTTTGCAAGTATTATCTCTCTCTCTCTCTCTTACATCCTCCCTCTCTCTCTCTCTCTCTCTCTCTCTCTCTCTCTCTCTCTCTCAAAGCATTGCGGCTGTGGTGAACGCGCAAGATCCGCACGTTTTATCGTTAATTAAAGGACGACCGCACGATTATGTACAATTACACCTCTCTCTTTAGTTACGATATCACGTTTAAATCGACGTTGAAATCGAAGCCCTTTTTAAATTGCTTCGTTCAAATGCGATCGCCGTCGAACAGAATGGAATCATTTTTTTTTTTTTTCTTTCATGACGAATTAATCGAAGAAATGAAATTAATTGTTATAGTCATTTATTACGAGTAAAAAAGAAAAGATCATTACTTCGTACTTCCTGGGATCTTAATTTAAACTCGGAATATTAAAAATATTCTTTCGTTATAGGCTAATATAAATTTTGTGTGCGTAAGATTTGCAGCGAGATACTTAGCCGTTCACCAAATTCTTTCTAACATTTCTAAACACCCGTATAACTGTGTCTGACCATGACACACATCGATGGAAGTCATCGAGAGCCTTTCGCATTCTTTTTGAAAAATATCCAACGATTTATATCACCTTCATCGATGGACCCTTTTATCTTTACCTCTCTCCCTTTTCATTTCTCTCTTTTCTTTTTTTTCTTCTTCTCCTTTATTTATTTATATATTATTTTTTTTCTCTTTTTTCACTCTTTCAAGGGGAAAACGATATTCATTCGTCGCCAATAACACGCTTCTCTTACTCACTCACTTGTAGTACAAAGTAGATAATAACGAGTCCGACACCGGCATCGTGCTGTCTCGCTCACGAGCTCAGCGATCTAATTTCTAACAATTCCATTCTATTTCGGTCTGTCAGCGTGTCTATTTTACGAGCACTATTATTTAAAAATAGATCACGCGTAGAAATATATTTCCTATGAAATAAAACACATATATTATCATAATCTAAAAGAATTAGTACGTCGTTCGTCGCCCATGTAAAATGATAGATATTGGGTTAAAAGCAAGATATTCATCATCGAACGATTTTCTTTTTCTTTTTACGTGAAAAAACGAGAATCTAGTCTCTAACGTGACTATAGACGAAAACGATTCGGAAAAAGAAAGTACCTTAGGTAAGCGAGAGTAGGAAAGAGAAAGAGAGAGAAATAAAAAGGGGAGCGGGGGGGGGGGTAGGTTAGGAGAAAGGGCAATATATAGAGTTGCAGAATCTAAGCAGCAAAAGACCTTTACTCGCATGCTTACGTGTTGCATTGTGCAATGATTTTCGACTGGTAGAAGGTTAAGCCAATGAGGTGTGGGACGAAAAAGTTGGCGAGGACTTAGCCAACATAGAGGCACGAAAGAACTCTAATTGATTCTAAGAACCTCGAGTGTGTTCCTTCTCCTTCTTTATCTCTCTATCTCTGTCCAACGTACGCGTATCAACACAAACACACTAGCTCCTACACAGAGAAACACGCGTTCTGCCGCTTAAACGATTCCTAATAAGATAATTCGTGCGGGTAGAAATGCGAAAGAAAAAGTTCGTGATCGTGGACGACGAAATATCTTAAAAAGAAAAAAAAAAAAAGAAAAAGAAAAAAGAAAACAAAAAACGATTCTTTAATTTATCGATCGGTCACGTAACGACACAAGGATTGGAGAACTGATTTTTAAAAGATTTAATTATAATTATTGTCGTACGAAAAATATTTTATTACACGTTAAAGAAAAGCATTTGCAATCGTTTCTCTGCGATTACCTGGAAGGAATAAAGTATACGAGATAGTTTTTTATAGTACGATAGATTATAACGTGCAATATTATAGAACGCCGTCGCATTTGAAAAAAAAAAAAAAAAGATAGAGAAGTTTTTGAATACTTAATGACGATTGTCGATCAATCGAAAAGAGAAAAAATTGATAGAGACGATAAATTTCTCGTTCTTACAATCGTACAATCTCGATAGAAAAAGGCTAGACTGAATTAATAGTCCGAAAGGAAGGATTAATCTTTAATCGAGCGACCATATGCAAGCGTACTTCTCCAACTCGGAAGTTTCCAATGTGTATAGTCGTCGCACACGCTTCATTGAAACTTTTACGAGGCACGTGCGCGAAATAGGAGAGAAGGGTTGAATGTTATAGGTAGAAGAAGGAACGGTTTGAGAAAGTAGAGATAGGGGGATAAAAGGAAGAAGAAAAAAAAAGATGGAAAAAAAAGAAAGAAACGGAAGGTCGTTCGAGCCAGTGCACCTGCCTGCACGTGCCGAGTGCAACTGCACTTTCTCTCCCCTTCCGCCCTCTTTCTCTCTCTCTCTCTCTCTCTCTCTCTCTCTCTCTCTCTCTGTCTCTCTTCAATAATTCAGACTCGCTACCGGAGGTGCATGCGTGCGTGCCTTTTAAAGGGGAATAGCATTCATCCCCTTTCATTGCACCCTCAAAGAAATTCTAACGTAATAACGCCTATTTCCTGTTTCAATCTATCGTTTTTAATCTATGAAACTATTGTCTCGCATTTTTCTTCTCGTCCGATTATATTAAACCTGGTAATTTCGTGTCTCCATTCATAGACGTTTTACGTTTGTAAAAATAGTAATATGATTAACGAGATCTCAACGTTAGACGGTTTCTTTCTTGGACGTTAGAGAACGGCCAAGAGAAAGTTTCAGACATCGTAGTTGGCAGCAAAGAAGAAGAAGAAAAATGGTACGAGACCGTTCAACCGTACGATACTTTCGAGTTATTTCCTGCGGTTTTCTACCAGTGGATCTAACGAGTTACGGCCCGGCCGTGTAACTTTCATATCTCCGTCACATTATAAATTATATCCCGATGGAACTGCCGCAAAGCTGCAAAAATGAATTTTATCCTCGTGTATGACGAAATGATAGTTAAATTTTTAAGTTGCAAGCACCCTTCTTTTCCTTTCGTAATTTTTTCTCTGAAATAAAGATCTTTAATTAATTTTACTTTTCTTTTTTTTTTTTTTTTTTTTTTTTTTTTTTTTTTTTTTTTTTTTTTTTTTTTTTTTTTTTATTATTAAGGTAAAGTACGAAAGATGTTAAATAGAAATTATCCAAAGAATTCATTCTATTCAACGACGAGCTCTCGAAAATTCTTTCATAATTCGAAGATGTGAGAACCTTTTGAGGCAACGAAAGACGATTAAAGGACATCTTTTTCTTCTCTTTCCACATCATCATCATCATCTCCCCCTTCCTCTAACGATCGAACCTGAACGCCTTGACAAAGGGGTGGGGGAGGGGGGCAAAAAAAAAGCAATTTTAAGACCGCACGAACGTGAGACTTTAACGCGAGTATAACTGTACGTATCTCATAGAATTATTAAGAGAAGAAGATAGGAAGTGATTTTTCTTTCTCGCGTTCCTCCATCTTTCTCCGTCTAAGCGCGTTTTGACACTTACAACGTTAAATACCGTTCCCTAATTCCTCGAATCTTTCCATACATCTCGTACGATCCTACAGTTATGTACATAGATTTCACAGGAGAATATGAACCTTTTTCTAAAGCATAAAAATCGTTTGAAAAAAATAAAAGAAAAAAAAAACAAAGAAGAAAAAAGTTGTCAAGAAAAGTTACGAGTTGAAAGAAGTTATGACGTTAAAATGTACACTTAGATAAAGATCCAAACTTCTCAAATCTAATCTAAACTTCTAATGAAAAGAAACAAAATAAGACGACAAGAGAACGAGAATGAGAGAGAGAGAGAAAGAGATCCTTTTGATCTTGATAGAGTCGAGGTCACGACTGAATTACATTTTCGCAATCATTAAAAAGGAAAATTTAAGGATGCCGTGTCGATCAAAATTGTTTTTTAATGTCGACATGGCGTGCATCGAGATCGGCTAAGCCGCAAAGTCCGATTCAAGATATGCATCTCAGCACGAAATTGAATCGAGTGATCAAAGATTTAATCTGCATTATGGTCTCTCTATTTCTCATTTATTATCTGGTGCAAGTTAATGTTAGAAGATTGTGTAACGATAAGATAGTTTCTATCTCTTCTTTCTCGTGGATGCTTTTTCTTCGTTCCTTTTCTCTGTCTCTCTCTCTCTCTCTCGTCTAATGATCCATCGAAGAAGATCGTTGGAACGAAATCGCGAAAAATAATGGCGACTTCAGGGCTTTAGGTTTTACCAGGCAGCGTCGTAAACGTCACGCCCGGTGATCTGCTCGTCGAAGCAAAAGATGTTCCCAGTGGCTGCACCGTGGCTCGCCTGCATCCTCTTTGTAGACTTTGTTCAAACCGTGAAGGCGAGGAAGGAGAAAAAGAGAGAGAGAGAGAGAGAGAGAGAGAGAGAGAGAGAGCGAGAGGGAGAGAGGGAGAGAGAAAGAGAGAGAGAGACACCAACGAGCGGCGATGAGTCCTCGTGCTCTAAGGCACAACCGTCCCAGATGGGCGTTAGACAGATACACACGTACACGTGCACGTAGCACATAGTAGACACGTACGATGACGAAGAAAAAGACAGGGATTTACGCACACAGAAACGCTCTCGTAAATCGGTCCTACCCACGGGCTGCTCCGTTGCTCTCTTTCTGCACGTTAGAGCGTCGCCGAAGCGGAGATTGTGACGTAGACACGTGGCAGGAAAAAAAGGACTGCCTTGCCACGAAAATATATATACCACGATGCACACGCCGGCGACTTCGAAATTCGTCGGCACCTTTCTCTTTCTCTCTTGTTCAAGCTCCTGCTCTTTTTTGCTCTCTCATCGTTTCTTTGTGACACCTCGAGCAGCAACTTAACGCGACTAGCCACAACAACTAACCTTCTAGTTCTCTCGATGCGCCTCGTTGTGGTTAATACGAATCACGACTTTGAAAATCGTCGAACCTTGTAATGCGGAAGTTTCGAAAGTTCACTCAAGACTGCTTTTTATAATGTTGATACCATCGTGTTATTCGATTATCGAAGCGCAAACATTTCGAAAGAAAAGTGACGATAATGATCCGTAAACATTGAATGTTATCGCCAAAATTTCATGTCATAGTCGAAGATCGTGTCCCATTGATTAATATCCAAATTGGAGAATATGTTATAACGTAAGACACGTTCGTCAAAATTTCGTTTTCACGATGACAAAGCAAAGTGCTCCTTCGTAGTCAGCATCTCGGCACCATCTCGACGAGGCGCGTTCTTCCTGTTCACGGATTGGAAGAACTCGGCTCGGAAGAGCCTTGAAAGTGAATGAGAAGGGACGGAAAGGGTTCGTGAGAGGATGGGGAGATATTACGGAGGGCTCCCAGTTGCAACATCGATCAGAGTTCCACGTGCAGCCTATGTATGCGTTGAGATGCAACGAGTCGAATAAAGGTCTGATCAATTGAAAAATTATTATTATATTATTTTTTTTTTTGTTTGCAGGAGGACGTTCGATTCTTTAGGGGGGGGAAAAAAAAAGAAAAAAAAAAAAAGAAATAGAAAGATAATCGTTGACTATCGTCGACTATCGCCAGGAAGAAAAATAACGGGAAAAGAAATGGAGTCGTACTCACCCTCGGGTGTCGATACGGTACCAGCCTTGTTCATCTTCGTATTCCACATGGCAGGAGTAGTTGGAGCGGGACTGAGATCTGGAGTTGGTGGATGTGCCGGTGGTATCGATACCATCGCGGAGCCCATTTGCGCGCCACGTTGTAAATGTTCCGAATTTGAGCCGTACCCCTCGAACCCCCTACCCCCGGAATATACCTCGCTCGATAATTTCTCTGCCAACTTCTCTGCTCGCTCTCGATCCGTCAATACCACCGGTTCCTGCTTTATTCGTAGATCTGTCAAACAAATGCGAAGATATTCGCGAAATTAGATTTTACAAAATAACTCGTTTCTTCGTCCAAATTATTACAAAATCTTATTAGACCGATGATTTTATAACACAATATTCAACTAACCTTCAGCGACGCTTTCCTTGTAATCACAGTTATTCCGTTCCTCTGACCGCGCTTGTTCCAATTCCTGCTCGAGTTCCGTTGGCGTGTGAGGCGCGGTATGCGAGTGAGCTGGTGTTTCCGAGGGATGGGCAAAGGGCTGATAAAAGTGACTTTCCAAAAGAAGAGGATGCGGTGCTGAAGCTGGCCGGAATGCTGCACCGTCGCGCAACACGCTCGCCCTACCTAACGTGTCGACGTCGCTTGGCGATCTGCAAGATCGGACGAACACTAAAATTGTTTATTAGAAGTACCGGAATAATGACGAAACTACAAGGGAAGAAAAAAAAAACAACAACAACACGTGTCTTCTTCTTGTTATGAACAAAAGATAAATGACGAAATCGATTATCAAACCGTGATTACGAAACCGAGCGACAGTCCTCGGAGAATCGGCTGTTAGATAAGCCAAAGTATTGTGCGTGCAACTCACACGCATAGAAATCTTTACGTAAAGATGCGCGTACACGAACGCGCATAGCTTGCATAATATCAAAAGAGGTCTAAATCTCTAAATGATGTTGAACGGGGAGAAAGGGGGAAGAGAAGGGAGGACGTCCTCCCTCCTCGTTGCGTCAATCCATTTAATCGACACAATAGTCTCGCGAAAGGTCACCGAGGAAACTAAACGAAAATAGTGGCGAAAATAATGTCGTAGCTTTTCGAACGAAAAAATAAAAGGGCCTTACCTCATTAACCTCTTTGGGGGACTTTCGAAATAGTGAGAGTACATGCTGGGTACGGTGTATGCCGGTGCCGGGGACGGCGCAGGCGTAGGGGTTGCGTCTCTGCGTCTTTTTATACTGTTCCTCAGCATCGTAGCTTCACCGGCCTCGCTGAGATCGGTGATGTCACCGACTCCACTATCGCCAACAGCACTCGTAGTAGATACTGCACCAGCAGCGATACTACCATTTGGATTTCCACTACCGCTACCGTCGACGCTACCACCAACTCCAACGCTGCTGCTACCACCGATACTTCCTGGTGCACCGACTTCGCCAACTCCGCTACCTCCACCCCCGCCACCCTCTCCGCCGGTGTCCGTCGACGAATTATTGCTCTCAGCCGCATGTCTCTGCGCCACTGCTAATTTCTCGTGCTCGATCGACAGACCTTTTACCTGTTGTTCCAACAGTTTTTTTTTTATTTTATCATGTTTAATTTAACAATTTCACTTTTTCTAACCATATAAACTCGCATCTGATTTGTATTCTTTAAATCGTTTCTTCGAGTAATCTATCGTTAATTAAATAAACGATAAGATAGAGATAAAAGAGAGAGAGAGAGAGAGAGAGAGAAGGGTAAGAAAGAGAGGGGAAAAAATATGTAGACATACTTGAAGGCATTCCGCTGCCTTGAGGAAAGAGCTCAGAGATTCCTGAGACACGTGTACTTCTCCGCGGTACATAAATTCGAGAAGCGACGCCATATTGTGAGCGCTCGTCCCGTCGAGAATAACGATCAGTCCTGCGGGAGAAGGCGGCATCCCTTCGAAGAGCTCCTGAAAATGTTTGCTGCATGCTGCGAGGATCAATCTGTGAGCCTTGAACGTTACTCCTGAAATCACAAATTAATTGCATCGTATTATTACAAAAAACAAAAAAAAAAAAAAAAGATTAATTTGTCCGATGACAATTATTAGTTCGAATAGATAATAATTAAATAAATAAATATTTAAAATGAATAGTTTTAACGAAAAACGAGAGCGAGTTTATACGTTTGAAAGGAGAATATATCTCATTCTTCGAAGGAGCCATTTACACATCCGGCAAATTCAAGGGAGCATAAAACGCTATGAATACGTAATCGCAAGAAAAGCACGCATTAGATGTAGAAGACGCACGCTTTCTTCTACTTATACGAGAACCCCTTTTTTCTCTCTCACGGGTTTTCATCATTCGAAGGGACCACCGAAAAACGACCGCGGGAATTTAGCGTGCAAAGGAAGTGCTGGTGACCGAGGAACCCCTTTTTTTACTCTCACTCTCTTTCTCCCTCTCTTGTAGAGGTACAGGCCCAACATCTTCCTCGTTTAGGAAGACCAAGAGAAAGAGAGAGAGAAAGAGAGACAGGGAGAAAGAGAAGGAGAGAGAAAAAACATAAAGAAAAGCCTCGGCAGCTTGACGTCGATGCCCTTTCTTGCAGCTTGCTGGATATGTAGGCCATCTTCGGACACAATCTTCCGTAATCTATACTTTTTTCTCTTTCTCTCTCTCCCTCTCTATCACTTACTCTCTAGTGCGTATAATACGCGCAGGTGTGTAACGCGATACTGATTACGTTACACGATTCGGAGTAGTGTCCAATGTGCACGTGATCGACCTTCAAACCTTGTCAGAAAATCAATGAATAAAAACTGAAGCTAAAAATCAAATTAGTTCGGTCGAAAATTTTTAAGTATAATGAATATAAAATTACACATATGTAAAAAGAATACTTAGTATTATTATCATAAGTACGTTTTCAAAATAGAGATGTTAAAAGATGTTAACTCGAAAAATTGTACAGGACGAAAAAATTGGCGATATAAATTCTCGGATTGCGATATGTCCGCGATGATTTGCAATTGAAATAACCAAAGAAGAGTAAGACTCATGCATTAAAAGAGACGTAGAGCGATTATAAACGATGATATAAGACGAATAAGGAAATCGAGTATGAAAAGAGACGAGAGACGAAGACGAGAGAGAGAGAGAGAGAGAGAGAGAGAGAGAGAAATGTGTACGAGGGGCTCGACCAGGTGGCGCAAACCACCTGTCCTTTCGACGCGAGCAACCTGGTCTTGAAGTGTATCGAATTCTCAGCGCGTTCTCCCGAACGATGAATTAAATTTCAAACTCGATTTCCCGCCACGTTAAATCGAATATCGATATCCGGATTATCCTAGTCACGCCCGATTAGTCGTTCGTAATTTATCTTCGATATATTTTCTATAAAATGAGATAAAACGAAGAAAAAAGAAAAAAGAAAAAAAAAGAAAAGAAATATAGGGAAATTTTTTATCATAAGTTACATACGACATATCTCGCATCATATTTTTTTCTGCCTTTCATAGTAAAAAGGACAGAGAGGGTGAGAGCAAGAGAGAGAAGCTCAAAAGCTCGCGACATCGTAACACGTCTATCGCAATATTTGTAAGCAGCCTAATATAGAATCGAGGAAATATCGTTGTACAAATGTGTGAGTGCTACACACTCTAAACATTCTAAACACGGTTGTGCAGGGGCCAACGACCGAGTCACGCGCGCGTGTGTAGGCGGCTTTTGCACGCTAAGTTCCTGATCCTTCTCTCTCTCTCTCTCGCTCTCGCTCTCGCTCTCTCTATCTCTATCTCTATCTTTCTTTTTCTTTCTAACCAGTCATAACTAGGCGAGCCCGGAAATACATAGATGATCTTTTCGTATTTCTGATCCTGGCTTCGCTAAAAAAATTTCGAGTCGTACACATCCACATCTTCTTTCTTCGTTCTGGGTATATTGCAATTTGTTTCTTTTTCAATACTCTCTTCGCTTATCGAGAAAGCACGAAATTACGTCGGTCAAGACATTTTTTTCGAAAATCGACCAAAATGATATACACACATATAAATATATATATATATATATATATATATATATATATATATATATATACACATATTCTTTTTTTATTCGCGCGTTGCATACGCTTAAAAGCTGATAATTCTAGCTTCGATAAGAGAGAAATTTATTCTTTTATAAAATATTTATCAAAAAAATGCTAACATCTCTTACGCACTCTTCTTGCTCAAACGTTTTGTTTATCCATAACTATGCAAGATACACGCGCGCGGCAAATCGTTGTAAAAAAACTCGTCGAAAGAATTATGTAAGCTATAAGAGAGAGAGATAGAGAGAAAGAGAGAGAGACTTCGGAACGTGTTTATAACATGCGACCGCACCGTCATCGAGTCATCGAACGAGGAGGCCAGCGGAGTGCGAGTAAGTTTCACGTTGAATGAACGGAGTAGTGGCGCGAGATAAGACGCGCGACGTTTTCGAATGTGTTTGTGTGTATTACCATGTTTATTGATATTCGAAGGTTATCTTCTCCGTTTGCGCTCTCGATCGTATTATATTCGCTTTACTATTCCGTATGTACTATTCCGTGCGAATGTGTGTACGCCTGTGTTCTATAAATAAATTATTGAAAGAAAATCTTGAGAAATCTTTTGATACCTATAACACCATTATGTCCAATTGAATGAAATGAAATCTAGGAAAATATTTATCTCAACTGTTAATCTTGCTCGGTGATTTTTCTTCTTTTTGTTTTCTGTTTTCTTTGGTTTCTTTCTTTTTTCTTTTCTTTTTTTTTCTTCTTTTTTTTCTTTCTTCTTTTTCTTTTTAATAAAACCTTCCGGGAATAAGGGGTCAAGATACTCCGACGATCCTTTGGCACGGTCAGAACAAAAATTTGCAAATAAAGAACGCGGAATTGGGCAACGGTGCAATGCACTCTTCTAGGCCGGTCTATTCGTATTCCAAGGCCAGCCAGTAAAAAAGCACAATCTCCTACTACCGAAAAACTATTCGCTATATAACTTTTAGAATACCTATGATTCTCAAAAGATACGATCTTTATATCGTATATATAAAATAATAATTCAATAACAGCAACGACGATAATAATCCGTAATTTCTTCATTGTTTTATCTTGCGAATATTACCGATCGTTTCTCAACTATTAACAAAATTCAAACATTGATAATTACAATGGCGTTAAAGAGTAAGAATATATAGAAAGTTTGTTTTCTATATATTTCCAATTATCGATCAAAGTCGAATTAGAGAAATCGACGAATTTAGAACGAGCGGGTTTACACGTGCACGTGTAATACATAGATATATAACTATGTACATCCCGAGGCTTTGCAAAAAGATAAGGCCGAACGATCCGATTGGTAGATAAATTTTAGTTGGGGGGAAAAAAAAACGACGGTCAATGCCCCGACAAGGTCGACGTCGATGCAAGAAAACGCGTATGAGTAGTTCTTTCTCTTCTTTGCACTCTACTCTCTCTCTCTCTCTCTCTCTTTCTCTTCCCCCCCCCCTTCTCCCTCTCTCTACCACTATCTCTATCCTTTTCTTTTTATCGCGTACACGTACTTTGTAGCACACATATGCAATGAATACTCGTAGAAATAGTAGAAAACATTTTAGGGCCTATCACCGACTCCTTTCCTTTGGTACCGGCCAATGGCCGCGTGGGACCAAGGTCGTTTTCTTCTCATATACTATCCTTCTTTTTTTCTCCCTCTCTCTCTCTCTCTGACTCCCCACTCTCCCTCTCCTCCCTTTCTCTCTCTCTCTCTCTCTCTCTCTCTCTTGCTTTCTCGCTCGTACATTCACTCACCCACTCTCGTAAAGAAGAAGAGATCTACTGTGTATAGACGATATGTGTGCAAGCGTGAGGGCTAAAGACGAGAAAGGAAGAGCATAGAAGAAGAAGCAGAAGTAGAAGAAGAAGAAGGGAAGAAGAGACACGATACGCGTGCGTGCGTGCGTGCGTGCGTGCGTGCGTGCGTGCGTGTGTTTCTAACGCAGAGCATCGACACGTGGGATGAAGGGAAGACGATGGCCGTGAGCTTCGAGGCCCTCGCGTACAAATACATACGTACACACACGCACACGCACACGCACACGCGCACTCACGTCACCTACGCCTACATATGTCAAATCGCAAAAGATCTCGCGCCTTTTAGATATATGTATATGTACACGAAACAGCCTTTCGAACGATCGGAGTTCGCGAGTCTCACGATTATCGATCATCGAAACTATGGATAAATCGATATCGAATCTTTACTCGTGACTATGTCGATAGCGAGCTGATAGAAAAAACAATGCGCAATAGCTTTCGTTGATTTGCCTTCAATAAAAAAGGAAAATAAAAAAGAAATAATAATAATGAGAAAGGAAAAAAAGACAAAGAAGAGATCGATTGTTCGTAATCGTTGAATAAAATCATAGAACTCAATAAGATTATGACGATTTTATTAATGATAGGATTATAACAAAAAAAAAGAAAGAAAAGAAAAAAAAAGAAATAAAAAGAATGAATACCCAGATAAGATCTTTTTTATCGTTTATCAAAAAAAAATTTGTTTTAAATAAATAAAAGAAATACTTCTATCTCTCTTAATTAGCCAAGCTAATTTCTAATGCAAAACTATTAAAAGTTCGTTGTCGATAAATAATCAACATGCTCTATCAACTTAGGACATTATATGAAAAAGAACAAAGAGAAATGCATACGCGAGAGTATGTACACGCATGCGAACGTGGTTGCGTAACTGTCATTGACCTAATTTCAAAAACGTCGATTACAAGAAATTTATCCTAAGTGTTCCATCGTTCTTCCTCTCTCATTTATTACTTATGAGCGTTGCTCGTTATTCTGAGAAATAAAAAAAGAAACACACACACACTCCCTCTCTCTCTCTCTCTCTCTCTCTCTCTCTTTTTTCCAAATGAAAAAAAAAAGGAAGAAACCATCCAATCGAGTTAACGCGCCAATTGAAAAACGAACGGAACAGG